GATAAATATTAATTAATTACTTAATTAATTAAATAAATAATTAATTAAAATATGCTAAAAACAAACTTCTTTTATAATACTTCCATACTTTGGATGAACACCCAGCCAATGTAGGAATTAGGGATAGATTAAAGAATGTCCAAAATGGTGTGAACAGCATAATTCTGGCACTGGATCAGGTGACAGAGAGAGTTATCACATAAATCCATATTGCTGCAATCATCCAGACATGAGATGATTGGCTGCTTTGTCATCTTAGTGGTGGGGAACCACTGGATCCTATAATCATTGATTAAATGAAAACTACAAATGTGGATGGTTTTATTGATGAAGGTCTTTAAGGAATGTTTCTCCTTAATTTGGACTCCTAGGTTCCTCACCACTGAGGAAGCCAACAGCTAGCAGTTAAAACAAAAAACAAAAAAAACAGAAGATGGGAAAAGAAAGAGGGGAGGTGGGACAATCAGGAAGAAACATAGCAATCTCTGTCTTGTCCATATTTAGTTTCTCATGGTAGGAACCTATGCAGCCCAAGACTTTACAAAGGCATTTAGAAGAGGATGTTCATACTGTGTCATCCAGAACAGGGACAGAGGAATACACCTCGGTTTTGTCAGCTTATGCATGATATAGGTAATTGAATATAAGAATCAAAGGACTGGAGGAGGAACAGTAAATAAAAGAGGAACTGGGTCCTAAGGAGCACCCACTGACGAAGAAAAAAAATGGGATGGAACACTGAGATAAATAGGTGTGAAACCAGTGGAGTGGAGTTCTGATACTATTAAGGGTACTCAGGTGGGAAAATAATATTGATGGTCCAAGGTAGCAAATATAGCAGAAAAATGTGATAATACCAGCACGGAACATAGGTGGCTTGTCTTGGCCACAAGGACATTGATTACAACATGTGTCTAAGTCAGTTTAGTAGAATGCCCCACATGAAAGCCCCACTGAAGCAGGTATGTGAAATTAACGGGGAGAAAATTGAGAGAAAGCTACACTCTCAAGCGGTTTTGATAGGAATGGAAGGAGAGACAATGGGAAAAGTTGAAATGTATGAAAGGACTACGAGACGGTATTTTTCAACAGAGGATGCAGACAAACATGTTTCAGGGTGTCTAATAAATGAGCAATAGCAAGAGAACTGCCAGCAGATAAGAAAGGGCAGAAAAAAGAAACTAGGGATGAATACAGAGAAGAGAGAAAGGGGTCAGAAGAGCTAATGGTATATGAGTTATTGAAAGGAAAGACTTTCACTTTACTAAATGATAAATGCAAAACATTCCAGTAGTTGATCCTGGAAGACGTTTCTTCCAAGAACTATACAGCAAGAGTATATCATAGCTCTCCTAATCCTGTCTCTGCTTTCCAAACTTCTGCTGAGTCCCCCAACTTTACTGTTTAATGCTATTAACACCAAATCTCTGCCCACATGTCCTTCCAGGAAATTCCTCCTGCTACAGTATATTAAGATATTGAAGCAGATGTATTAAAATGCAAGTGTATGCATAGAGGTTTAATTGCAAAACCTGAACATGTTGGCTAAAGATTACTGAAGATGAAATTCAACATAACATGAAGGCACCAGGTTGGAGAAGGTAGATATAAAGATTATGGAAAATTATTGGAGGACAATTGAATAAACAGGCTGAGGGTTGTTGGCATGGGAGGCGGCCTTCAGCTCCCTCTCTCTAAACCCTTCTTAAACCGAGTCTCTTCGCTGTTTTACAATGAGTCTTTGCTTAGCACAAGAACCATTTCCAATTTTTCTTGATTGGACTATAGATGGAAATGGCACTAAGGGCTGAGGTGGCCAGAACTCCTATCAGTTTGTTTTACTGGGTTAAGTCTATAACTCACTATTTGACAAATAAAGTTAAAAGTAGATTTGGCTGGTAGTTACAAGACCAAAGACTATGGCCATTCTTGTTGTTCTTTAGGTCAAGGGGTTAACTTACATTCAACATGTACGGTCACATCTCTAACATCAGAGCCATACTGGTTGGTAGCATTACAATGATAAATGCCGTCATGCTCTCTCTGGACCAGCTGTTGTTCCCCAATGCTGTAAGATCTCCCATCTTTCCAGCACTGGACTGTTGGTGTGGGGTTTCCCAAGGCTGAGCAGGTAAATGATGTCGAAGTTCCCTCCTTCCAGGTCAATGTATGCGGACATTTGGAATCATCAATTTGGGGCCCATCTAGAATGGAGAAGGAAATGTGGTTATTTTCACTGGTAATAATACATGAAGGGAAGCATCTTCTTTTATTCTGCAAAGCTGCTGTACATTTGGTAATCATTTTAGAGTGCTAAATCTCTAGGAATAAAATATAACTTGTATTTTTTCCTACTCACAGAAGACGGTGAGCTTTTGAGATGCGCTTCTTTCCTTGGGGCGCCCACCAACGATCAGGATTACTTGGCAGATAAACTCCCTCCCATTATCCTCTTCCTGAGTGATCACTGCATGCTGCAGGAAGGGTTGGTCTTGGTTGCTGGAGGCTAAGATTTTGGCAGCATCCCTGATCTGCATTTTAAAACCAGGGGAAGCATTGCCGTCAGCACTACATGTGACGTTCACCATTTGATTGACAACGGCTTCTGAATTCTCAATCTGCAAGATGAGTTTTGGTAAAGCTGCAAGGGAACAGGGCAGAGCAGTGTTAATGTGTTCAGATGGTTACAAAATGGATTAGTGAAAACAACTTTAAAAAATGCTGGCTAACAGCTTTTAAATCATTCTCCCTCCCATCCTAGATATGAAAACAGTGATTAAGGACTAACTAGCACAGGGGAGACCCAGGTTCAAGTCCATCCTCAGCCACAGAGGCTTAGTGAGTGGCTTTTGCCTTCACACTGTCTCTCAGCCCACGTTCATCTCCGGGTTCTTGTAAGAAAAACTGAAACCTGGGTGC